ATATAAATTCCACGTCATCTTCTCTTACCAGTTTGTCGAGTACGGTCTGTTTTTCTTTTCCTCGATTGATGTCGCAGCCTGCTTCACCATATCTCTTCACCTAATGAGCTACTACATTGAGTGATTCAAATAGATTTCCAAACAAATAGTGATAGTGAAATAAATTAAATTAAGAATCAAATAATAAAGTAAATTTAATTTCAAGACATACAAAAATTGCTAGTTCTAGGATAATGCGAAAAAGTTAGTGTTATTGTCAAGGATTTTGATTTTCTTTAGAGAATCTGCAAGGGAAACGCACTCTGACGGTGAAGTAAATGATCCCATACGCAGAAAAGCGCTTCTCGGTAACGAAATTTATATCTATTGAAACATTTAAAGTCTTCTCCTTTAGGTTCACCTAGGCATTCGATGTACTGCGAACCTGGCTGCATAGAGTGTGGGTACCTGAGTTCAGAATCCTAGTATTTTACGAACTCAATAAATCAGAAATATTTTGAGGATATGTTTTATTTTATTTCCTAACTATGGCATCTGTATCATCTTTAAACCTTGCCATTCCGTTGATCACAGGGCCATTTATGATGGAGAAGGGAAAGTCTTCGGATCGCGGATGTCACGACTGCTCAGTAGGTTTTGACTGCTTTAGAGACGGAAAAAAGAATATGATCTATCCTCTGGCATTTAATTCAGAAAATCTAAAGTGGTACGACCCGACTTGCTAACGGTTCCTATCCTGCGTTCCTCTCTGAAAGTAACCACCACTCAATCGATCCCTCCCAACGGTTAACCGCCTCATTGTGGCTGGGAGGTGTTCCTGGGTGTCGGGATAGGATGTACAACGAGGCGATTCACCACCCAGGCAGGGTCTCCCAAGCTGAGAAGGAGTCCGACGTTTCCATTAGAAAGCCTAGCTAAGAGTAAACGAATACCAGGATCGGCGGCCACCGCACTGATATCAAACTATTTTAACTTATTATTTACTGCCTATTCTTTTTAACGGCAGGGTATACATTGTGAAGTATAACTTCAATGAAGCTGAGATTTTGCAAAACTCCGGACCCCAGGTGTATGCGGTGGGCAATAAAAATAAATAATAAGTTAAAATTGTGTTTATAATTGCCGCCTCAGCTTAACTGGGTTCGTTGCCGATTTGGGCTCCCCAGATCAATAACGCTGACGGGTGATTGCTGATGACAAAAGATCGATAGAACTAGCTGAGAGATAGGCGAAAGAAAGTCCCGCATGGTGTGGTGGTGAGCGCGTTACTCCCCGGAAAGGACAATAGCGCGTTCGTTCCCCACCGCAGACACCTGCGGTCCGGAGTTTTGCAAATATCTCAGCATCACCTAAGTGATATCAAACTAGTTGCATAGTGCCAAATCCCCCTCTGATCAACAAGGTCTGCAACTGTCTGGGATGGTGACAACCTGGAGAGACTTTGGCTAAGCTGACCTTGAGACTCCAGGGGAACACTGTCGCTAAACTAGCAAAACTCCGAAAGTGGAGATTATGCTGGGGCTCGCACAACTAGTGAGGACGGGCTGTGCAAGTATTCAAGTACCCAAGCACTCAATCCATCTGTTTTTTGCAATTCCGAATTATGCTTCAGGATGAAGAAAAAGAGCTATTTAATTGATAAAGTGCTGACAGGTATTGTGATGTTTCCTCCAACGCCTTAAAATTTAGCCAATACTCACCCTTCTCCCTCTTCAAAATATCCTACTGTCGCTTCTCTACAAAGTTTTTGCTAGCTCGTGCCTAAGTGAAGAACGGATCATAGCGACTTTCTCACTCTCGCTTTGCTCAGCGCTATCGTAGAATCCAATGACCTAATAATGTTTACCATAGATGTCGTCGGGATCTTTTTTTAAATGCGTCGTCTTCTTGTTCAGTGATGGCGAGCTTGTTATAAAACATACATTAACTTCCGCACAAGAACACACAATACAACATTAGCTGACGTTTCGGCAGTATCGCTTTCTTCAGAACCTGGAAAGGTATGCTGATATGCAACTCGATGCGCCAAGCGCTTCAACAACTCATACAGAAAGATGATCACATGATGGCAACCACGTGATCAACATCTTCTCTAAAATGCCCACCGTTTTTTAAGTGTCTTCCACTGGAGAAGAACAGGTGATCAAAGTCGCATGTGGTTGACGGCTCCACTACCCCACATCAGAAATCGATTTTTGCTTTATATGACCCGTCTTCACGCCTGCTGTGAGGGTCCCAGCACTTTTCACATTCGATTCGCTTCTTGGCATCCTTCATCCACCAAGACCTTCAACTTTTACGTGTGGCTTCAGCTGCAGCTTGAAGATTTTCATTTCATCTTGAATGTCGTAGAATGCTGGTCGAGTCGATTCTCACTGGGGCCCTGAGATCGTTCCAAATTGGATTCCAGAGAGTAATTTTGTCCCGGCCAAACCTGATACCAACTTCCCCACCCCGGAGCGATAACAGGCTTGATGAACCTGAAGTTGGATCGAGCCAGCACCGTGCTCTTAATGACTGGCATCACTACCACTGTGGTATCTGCCCCTTTCGTCGGAATTAGGCCAAAAAATAAGTAGATCCTAAAACGGTAGTTTGCGGAAACTCTTCCCTTGAACTTTACACTTTTTTTCTCTGAAAAACAGTAATATGAGGTAACAACTTTTCATCCTGTACTGAACTTTTGGACAAAAGATTGAATTTACGTCTTCACTTCTCTTTTCTTTTATTGTCAAGTGACTTAAGAGTGCGTCATTGAATTTCCCACTTGTCTCCGCTTCGTGCAGGAGCAGTCCTGTAGGTTCTGCTCGCCGTAGGAAGTCACTGAGTATTACTTTTTTTCTAGAGGACCTTCGGGAAGGATAATGGCCATCAAGTCGATATACATCCGACTTCGTGTTGCTCGTTTGACATCCCAGGGTCGCTAGTAGCTCTTGTCCACTCATTGTCTTTCAGACGCACGGCGTGCCCGGCACACATGATTCTCGACAAGTTGTCGTATAAAGCGACGTTTCTGATTTTTTTTAATCATTGACGTAGATCGTAACTTCGACTCCGATTTTTGCTTGCGTGGCACAGGCTACTCCGAGCACCGTCCTTTTGAATGTGCCCCCGGGTATGGCTGAGTGGGCTTTCATCTTGCTATGATAGCGACCAGGTTTCTGATGAGTACATTAAAACACGAAGCATTTTGGTGTTGATACGACGGATACGAAGTGAAGTGCTCCTAATCGTCATCACTACATCCTCGATGCTTTTGAATGCTTTTCAAGGAGTTCGCTTCCTCTTGCTGAATTGTGTGGCCACGTCGTTCATCATGATGACTTTTCCTTTAGATGAACATCCTGAGATATTTATTTGGTAGAGCGAGAACTGGGTAAAACAAGCCAATCGGTTCTCCCCGAACATCGTCTTCGTTGTCAAAATCAGCTAACATTCGTTCTTTGTGGTTGACGCCCTATGTTATAAGAACGATTTCATCGGCAGAGCGAATATGGTGCAATTGCTGTCGATCACCTTTCTCTCCTATGTTGTCCTATTCCAATTTTTCCATGACGCTCTCGAGAGAGGAAGTAAATAATTTTGACAAGATGGTATATCCTTGCCGAACCTTTTCTTTATGTCGATGTTGATATCGTTATGAAGTGCTTTATAATATCTGTATTGCAAAGCTTCTATATGTGGCACGAGGATTCTTTATAGATTGAGTTGTGACATCCTGACTCTCCAGAGATTCTGTATTTACTTCTCTCTCAACTGAATCGAAAGTTATCTTTAAATAAATGGAACTAGGAGCGGTTTCTTATGCTCTCGAAAGACTTCAATGGGTCTTGTTAACGTGTGAATGTGGTTAATCGTACTGAATCCTTTTCGAAATCCTGCTTGCTGCCATGGCTGCCTTTCGTTCAGTGTTTTGTTAATCCTGTTTAGAATGACTCCAGTAAGAAGTTTATAGACGAAAGACAGCAAGCAAACTGAACGATAGTTGCCGGTATTGTGGAGGTAACAACAACAGTGTCTTAGCAGTCTTCCATTAAGTACGAACCTTGTATTTTGAAAGGTAACGTGTGAAGAACTAAGCCATTGAGTTAATGATGACTGGAGGCAGTTTGTTATGGTGTTCAAGCGCTATCCTTTCAAGATCAGGTGTTGTTCGATTCCTCGCCGACGAAATAGCATGTAGGACATCGGAAGTGAGAACCGGTGCTACGACATATCCATCCTCTCGATCTGAGCAGTAATCATGAATGATTTTCTTCGTTGCCTTTCTGGTCTCCGTTACTGCTCCGTCTGGGCAGCGGAGTATAATCATCTTGGTTTTGTAATTGGCGAGACTTCGGTGAACTTTTCGAATGCTTTCCCCACCCTCTACATCTTCGACTATAACCCGCTGTCCCTTTTTCTTTAAGATCTGCTTTTATCGCTTGTCTGAATAGTTCTGCATGTTCGGACGTGAGTTGGCGGTTCCCTGTAGGTTGGGCGATTCCAAGCTGGCGTATCAGTTGTACTTTTCTGGAGGCAGACGTCTCTTTGTGACTTTCAAACTCTGAGCCTTCATAGTTCTAACGTGAAGATGTTGAATAAGCCGATCGTATTCCTTGTCGATGTTTTATCGAGAATATCCTTCCAACACTGGACTAGTGAATTGAATAAGTCCCAGTTTATGGTGGTCCTCGGGCTTCGTTTTTTGAATTTGGCGGCTTTTTCTCTTCCACAAAAAATGAAATCTTGCACGAAGGAGACTATAGCTCGATCCTGCGCAAAATTTTTGGAGAACAACCACGTCGGTTAGACAGAATATTCCATTAACAACGATGATGATCTTTCTAGTAGGGTCTCTTCAAGAACTTTTGGTGCATGAACGATTAAAATTGTGAAAGCCGGTATTGATCTTTGATCTTTTCAACCGTAAACGTCCGATCTGCGTTATTAGTTGTTCGAATGAAACGACATCCACATTGAAAGTAGTGTTAACGAGCAGGCTAATATCGCCGTCTTCTCTATTGTATATGTTCTAGAAAACAGTTTTTCTCCGGTATTACAAGCAGGTTGAACTGGATGCGTCTTCTCTTCTCGGCTGTCCGATTATGTAGTACCTTATCCTTATAGCCTGCTTCATCAGGTCCTCAAAAAAAAAACTAAAATGCAAATAAATTTGTAGGGGCAGATCGTCACTTTAACCTTTCCAGATTTAGGCAGCCCGCAATTGTTCTGAGAAATTGGCAGTTGTACCTCTCCTACTCAAAGCTGAGCTTGTCGAGCTTTTAAGGTGGGAGCCCGTGGGAAGAATATGTTCACTGGCAGTTTGTTGCTTTCTCCTGGAATAGAATATAAGGTTTATTTGTTAGAGACCACTCCATTCCAGTGCCATGTACTTCTCAGCTGCATGAACGCATGCTTTTGCTTTAAATGAGTTGTAATATAATATACGTAAAGAAAAAGACACCTATGCTGCGCGAACGTTTCTACGTTAACACATGAGCTGTGTGCTAACTCGGAGCGTCACAAATGCTGCTCACCTGGGAGCGTCTGCGCCGTGGGAAAGCACACAGTCACTCCTGGTCCACGTTGAACGCATTATCCGCTGGTTGGAGATGAGTGACGCAGTCTCACGAATAACCGACTGGGAAGCCCACAGTGAGGAAAAACTATGGGTGGACACATTAGTCAATAGAAATGTATAATTTTCGATGATGTACTCGATTCCACTATGGGATCTTTTAGCGTTTTAATACTTCCCATATGGCAGCCAGAAATCGAACTCTGGAATTATGGGTTACTGTGCATGACCTCAGTTGTCCTTGCTAAACTCAAACAGCCGCTTAAGTTTTTCAACTCGATCAAGAATCGTTCACTGAACCTCATGAGGTGCTATCCTTGGGCAACACAGTTAGTCTTATTCTTCACTTGTTCAAGGAAACTCTTACCTGTTTTTGTGTTGTCAATGACACAGGCTCATATAGTTGACCTAATAATGTGTCCCCAGGCGGCAACCAGGTCTTTTCTTCTGCTACTTTGATTGCGATTTGCTCGGTTTTCTTGTCTTGCGCCATGATGTCTTCGATGGGGTTTTCCGTGACGGCGTGTGTGTGTGTGGTCCGGTGGATCGCCGTCCTCCAGGGTTTTAGCCGCCTGCATTGGTCATCTGGTTGCGAACGAGCTTTAAGCATCTGTTTAACCAATGTGCCATATCGGAGGCTGTTTTGCTTGTGACAGATAACTTCATGAACCTTGTTAGTTTCTGCTTTTGGTCATGCTGACCAGTTTTTTGTTCACCTTCTCTTTCTGCAGCAGATATTTTCCTTTTAAACTTACTTTTTTAAAGAAAATTCGAATCGATTGAATACAAGGTAATGCTCAAGCAGTGAATGCTCGTGCATAAGGATGAATAGGGATTTCGCCACAATTGACGGTGGTCTGAGTGAAGATAACTCATTGAAGGGAATGGTGATAGTGGCGTAAATAAAGAGGAGATGGACACATTAAAAGAAAATGCATCTTTATCGCCACTCGTCATTTATCCCATTAGTGTTTAAAAAATACTTCAAAAAAATGTATTTACATCTACCAAACTTCTGTTCCGTGATGAAAAGGCTGCTTTGCGGCGGAGACATCAGAAGGTAGACTTGAATCCTCTTCAGTGATAAAAGTCCTGTATTTAGCACAAGGTGGTAAATGTGGAACAAGGCCTAGTCTAAACACCACCCGGTAGCTGGAAAGTAGAAGCTTCATTCGCTAGTCTTTCCGTCTGTCGTCTGAATTTTCTATATGAATTTGCCATAAATTTAACGCCTATTTCAGAAGAGCCAATTCTAGAAAATAGCACGTTCGTTCCCCACCGAAAACACCTGCGATCCGGAGTTTTGCAAATATATAAACATCATCGTGGTTCTCTTGGTTGTATCAATTTTGAAAGGCTGGAAGGTAATAGATTAATTGTCGTATCAACTAGCTCCACGGATCTCTCTCATATGAGGGATCTTGAGCCGGTTAGTCTCCAGGCTACATTGCGGTCTCCAGGTGCCGGATAAGGGGTTAATCGCGGACCAAAAGCGAATTTGCTTTTCTGAGACGCACGTGGATCCAGGGGATAAACTCCTTCTTTGTGCTGCGCTGATTTGGCACATACTTTCTGTATTTGCCAGGCGTATTCACGCATGAGTGTGTAGGTGCGTTCTTGCTTATGCGGATTGTATTCTACGAGTCAATTCGGGCAAAAAGCCTGCAATTAAGTGACTGGGAAGTATATGGAGGGCGGTTAGGACTCGCCTCCAACAAATAAGCTCCATGTCTACTCTGGAGAGCCTGGCAAGCTAACCCATGAGCATACCCAGCCCCGCGTTCAGAGCCAAGCAATGTATACGTGGGTATCAAATTGGCCTCATTCGCTGATCCCAATAGTGTCCACAGTTTTGCAGCGTTAGGTGGGACGACTATGGAGAGGCTGCTAAAATCTCAGGGGCAATGGAAGCTGCCTGGATTGCAAAGAACTATGGTGGCGATCTGTACTTACAATGCACGTACACTTGAATCCGAGTCCTCGATAGAAGACTTGCTCATGCAAACAAGAAGGATAAGGAACGATGTCATCGGCCTAACCGAGACGAGACAACGCCACCTATTCAACGCCGTCTAAGACACCAGAAAAGAACTGTTCCTCGGAACATGTGTCAGTAAAGGAGTCGGTGGCGTCGGCGTTCTCGTCAACACGTGTTTTTCCATGAACATCGATTCGAACAGCTTACAACCCGAATCCGACGTTTACGATTAAAAAAATGTGGATCAATACCGGCTTTGACAATCTTCATTGTTTACGCGCCGACATCAAACCATGGCGAAGAAGAAGTCGAAGCGTTATATTTGGACTTGGAAAGGTTCTACAGAGAAGACCGTACTTCAGGGTCATCAATGGAGATTTCAACGCCAGGACTAGACCAAGAAAAACGTCACATCAGGCAACCGCGAACTAAGTCCGAACTTGCAAAAAAGTGTAAACAGGCTATAAAAGAAGATCTTGAAAAGAGAAGAGCAGCAGTAATGGTCGAAGCTGCAGAGGTTGGGAAAACTATACGCAAAGCCCACCGAAGCTTCGCTAATTACAAAGCCAAAATGATTGCATTCCGGCGCCCAGACGGAACAGTTACAACATCCAGAAAGGCAATGGAGAAAATCATTCACGAATACTGCTCGGATCTCTTCGATAGTCACGTCCACCTCTCGTCATATGAAATAAAGGAGGATGAATATGTTGTGCCACTGGTTCCCCTATCCGGAATCCGACATGCCGTTTCGTCGGTGAAAAATCGAACAGCACCAGGTCTGGACGGGATAAGACCAGAAGACCCGAAGAACCTTCCGCCACTCCTCGTAAACACACAGGCTGCGCTCTTCACACGTTAACTGTCTGAGTGCAAAGTACCATTCAGTGGAAGACCAGCAAGACGGTGTTATTGTTCAAGAAGGATGACTTATACGATATCGGCAAATATCGCCCAATCTGCTTGTTATTTGTTGTTGTCTACAAACTTCTCACTCCAGTCGTCCTAAAAAAGATTGACCTAACACTAGACGAAGGACGGTCATGTAAGCAAACAAGGTTTTGAAAAGGATTTAGTACGATGGACCACATCCACACCATGACAAGGCTCATTGAAGTATCGCAAGAGTACGAAAAGCCGCTCTGTCTCACTTTCATGGATTTACAGAAGTCCTTTGATTCAATTGAGATAGAAGCGGTCATAGAAGCCCTTGATAGTCAAGGAGTCCTTATTCAGTACATAAAGATTCTTCGTGAGCTGTACAAAAATTTCACAACCAAGATATCACCATTATATAACGATATTAACATCGGAGTCAAAAGAGGGGTTAGGCAAGGCGGCACCATCTGGTCAAAATTATTCACCGCCACTCTCGAGAACGTCGTGTGAACATTGGAATGGAAAAACATTGGTGTGAAAACCGATGGTTTGCGATTACACCATCTTCGCTTTGCTGATGACATCGTCCTTATAACGCCAAGCATTATCCAAGCGGAACGTATGCTTGCCAACTTTGCTAGAGCCTGTGGAAAGATTGGTCTTCGACTAAATCTCACAAAAACAATGTTTATGAGAAGCGGATTGGTTTCGTATGCCCCATTCACGCTCAACGCAACGAATATCTCCGAAGGCTCCAGTTATATCTATCTAGGTTGGGAAATCAAAATGATGAACGACATAACTCCAGAGCTGTGCAGTAGGAAACGAGCGGCTTGGGGGACTTTCAGGCGCATCGAGGATGTGGTGAAAAGAACAAAGAAAACCCGACTCCGTGCCTACCTTTTCGACTCAACGGTACTTTCTACCTTAATCAGAAACCTGGTCGCTGCGTAAGCAGGATGAAAGGTCACTCGGCGTAATCGAACACGCAGGTGAAAGGACGATACTGGAAGTATCCCGTTCCACACACGTGAGGGATGGGATCCGAAGCTTCCACCTGCATTGACGATAAAAAATCAAAGATGCCGTTTTGTATGCGAATCAGTCGAAGATAAGGTGGGCCAGACAACGTAATGCGTATGAATGACAACCGATGGAGAAGAGCCATTAGTGACTGGATTCCTCGGGATATCAAACGTACTGAAGGAAGACCACCAACCCGATGGTCAGAGTTTTTCACGAAGAGCCTAGAAGGACGATATGATGCTCAACGAGTTTCTAGAGCGAGCAGAACCCACTGGGCTACTCTTGCACCCGACGGGGAAAAATGGTAGACTTACTGGCGCCAGCTCGACTCACTCAACGATCAACGGAACTACAGGTGATACAGGTGATTAATAGTATGTCTCCCTTTCCGATTTTGGTCTCTCTCTGTCTTTTTTTCTGTTTCATTTCATCTTCATTCCTACCTTGCATAGCAGTTCGAGCGGCTGTCAATGCTGCTATGGCTCCACCTAAAGAATGACCGGTGAACGTAATGTTATAGCCCTGAAATTACATTAAGTACAAATTAAATTGCTTTTTTTGTTCTAGACCCTTCTGCCTATTTTTCTCTTTTTTCTACAAGCCTGGTGACTTACGCACAGCGTATTCGGTATAGTTGAGTATTCGTTCAACCGACGGCCAAAGTACGACGTGTGCATTCATAAAGTATTTATGGACCTGAACAGGTATGAGATATATTCTCTGGTAACAGGTCTACATCTTGGTAGAGACATCCTGTATAGCAGTTAATTTAATAATTTCATGCAAGTAATGGTTCCTTCCTCAGTTTTGATATCCCTTGCTATGTTTATCGAATGGGCGCGTGTGGCGCTGTGGTGGGTGGCGCCCTGCAACACACACGTGGAACCGATCCCGGCGCCCATGGCTTACCAAGCCCTCCATCTCTCCGAGGTCAGCTAATTGGTGCCAGAATTGTCTGGGAAGATAGCATCACTAGCTCCATACATCGGTAGGCCACCGTGAGCCATTGTAAAAGCCAAATATACATTCAATCACCTCCAAATGATGCTTAATGAAATCGAATGCATGGCGCATCCCTCAGGGATTGATCAATGCTGGGAACTTTATCCTTCATCGTTTATAGAAGGTTTTTTTCATATTTCCACATCTACTTTAGGGTTGATTGCATGGTTCTTGGTTGTTGTCATTTCTACCGTTCCAGTAGGATTGCTGCAGAATGCACATCCACATCACTAGGCCTGTTGGTAGATAGAAGTTATTTCTACGTGTGCTTAATCATTCATGGATTGGGATTGAGCTAGTGAATTCTTAAATCTAGCGTGGAATTTTTGATGTGACAGTGGAAGTTAGCAGCAATTTGTCTATGAGCATTTGAAGCGTTTTGTATAGATACTGGCTGCGATAATTCACTTGCACATTCACATCACATGCAAACCTAAACAATTACTAAACCACAAACATGCAACGAAATCTTTCTGTTTTCGGTGAACCTTAACTTGCACCATGTAATTATGCGGCCTAATCTTCAGGATAGTGTTCAACTCTTGATATTGAATGCTAAGTAGACCATATCTTGCACTCTAAGCCCTTAACAGAACGACTAACAACAGTTAGTGACGCCTTTATCGTTAGATTTATCGTTGACGGGTAATGCGCTGTAATTTCTGGAATCAAATTGTGGAGGCTTCAACATCATTGGAGTAACGAGTAGCTGATTAGCAATGGTGAGCCTGTGCGACACGTTTTATAAAGCGGTTTTGAAGCTTTTTGAAGAAATTGCAATTCTCGAACATAGAAGGAATTCCAGAACAGTGTTGAGCTTCAGCGATTTTGATCTAGTTGATGCAAGGTTGCGTATTAATTGATGTGCCACTCGCAGCCAGTAGACATGTGCCTCTCGGAGATTGCGAGCGATTTGATGTATTTCTCAAGACTAGTAGATCAATCGATGCACTCCTCAGTGTTTATATGTACGTTAACATGCCACTCAGGACTTGTAGATAGGTTGCGGCTACACATACGCCTCAAATTTGGGTAAATAATCACTTTTTGGCTTCCAAGATCAACTTTCTACGAACCACGACACTAGATTATAAATATGCTGTTGTCTTTTTTAGCAATCGCTACATGGCACGTGATCTAGCCCCGTGTCTCAGAATTGTTTTTTGAAGAGGGGTGGTGCGATCATCAACCATATGCGACTCTGAACGGCTGATCTCCTACGGTGGAAGGCAGGTGAAAAACGGTGGGTTTTTCCATAAACGGGTAATCGTGTGATAACCATTCAGATTTTCATCTTTCTGTTTGCGCTGTTCAAGCGCTTGACCTAGTCAATTGCATATCAGTGTTCCCTTCCAGGCTCTAAAGAAGGCGATACTGTCGAAACGTCGGCTACCGTTGTGTTGCATGTGTTCTGTGTGCATGGTAGTAAGCATGTGGTGAATAAGAGTCCCGCGATTGCTGAAAAAGAGAACGACACTTTTGTAATCATTTTTCGCTCTAAAAATAGGTCCGCATGAGAAAGGTAGCGCAATGATTATTGGTACCGTCAATCAGGAAGCAAGTGTTTTGCCTTGATCTCTTAGTCAAAGCTCTCCTTCGGTCCATGCAGAAACGTCTCAGCGCAGCTGTATTAAAGATTGCAAGGAAATCCGACTCAACCAGCATTCTACGATATTCATTGTAAAAGAAAAGACGAAATTCGCGAGCTGCAGCAGGAGCAACATACGAGATACTCGAAAACCACTGTAGTTGATGAATATCGAATCGAATGAAAGAAATGCTGGAATCCCTACGGGAGACGTGATGACAGATCATATAAAATGGAACAAATAAAAAATAAAGGTTTGACCGGTTGAGATGGCATCGATCGCTTTGTTGTCATGTTGAGGGAGTTTCTGTGAAGATGTGTAGTTTACGGTCTTCAAACGGTTCATCAACCATGAAACGAAGAACTATGTAGAAATACATGTTCGGGATATATAAGATATATATTGCCCTCTTAGGCAGCTGTCACTGAGCCGTCATTAGGCCAGAGCTGGTTAACTGAACCTTTGTACATGTAAACAAGAAAAATAAAATTGAAATGACGAAATCATTAAGCAGAGATAATTTGAAGTATAAGACAGTGTAGTGCAAGTAGGAAGGCAGCTTCTGTAATAGACTAATGCAGTAGTATGGGTAGCAGATGAGAATATTACTCAGCTAAGAAGTGTAAAGAGCAAGTAAAATTTTTCTCTATTCATGAACATACACGGGGTTGTTACACAACTTTTATTCAGCTAACGTTTCCACGTATTCGTCTTCTTTAGAGCCACACTGATCAGAGTCAATGGTCCACAGGTGGTCATCCTCGCGATTTGGGTCCTCCTTGTCGTATGGAATGGAAACCAGTAAGGTGGTGCACCGCTCGAATGGAAAACGTCTCTTCGCTGTCCCCTTTTTATACAAGATGGACGTTGATTTTTGCCGCCATCCAGTACAATCCGCTTTTTTTGTGACTTTGCATCCTACTACAGTCGGTATTGTATCAGCTGGCTGACAACGAAAAAAGACATCGCCGAGAATGGTTTTTTAGTCGAGCATTGCTCCACTGGATTCGACTCGATGGGGTAACCGCCCGAATCGCCAAGACGGTCAGCTGTGGTCTATCGGCTCTTCTCAATCCAACTCTGAAGAGGACGTTGAAACCTTGCCCAAACAAATATTTTTATACCAGCCTCGTTTTAGCTGAATTATCTGGAAAAACATTATGTTCTTTATTTGGCAAAGGACTTTTTCACAAAGGGATTCGAATGCAGAGCTCATTCTTATGGAACTGATCCACGCTGAACGTTCAATCTGATTGGTGTAGTTGAAGACGTTTTCTACATAGACTGTACTATACAGTGATTAGAAAAAACGATTTCGGATAATTCACCAGTGATGCCTCCGCATTTGTTATTATTGTCATCGCATAAAACTTCTGTTCTTGACAAAACACGGTAATCCTCGTAGAAAGGGAATGTTCTGAAAGAATCGTCCAGTTTAGTGTATTGGTAGCTTGCCTTTATACCTTGTTATTTTGCTCATTCCTTCCTGTTAGATTTTTGGCACCAAACCTCGTCTTAATAACCAATTCCTCAATTTGCTCGAGTTCTTATAATCGAGGCGGTTTCACTCACTTTCTCTTCATTTTTAAAAATCGAAAATGATAAAGGATTCAGAAATTTTTTCCTAACTAAGATCTGAATGATCATGCCATGTTTTACGAAAGAATAGCGTACAAGCACTTGACTAGGAAATCGCGTTACTGGCCATCCACTACCTTTCGTTGCCTTCCTACTACGCTTTTGTTTCATCAATGAGTTTTCAGTTTAAATATCAACCTTGCTTAATCGGGGTTTGTTCCAAAAGATGCATCTATTTCACAAATGCATAAACGATAGCCCAAACTTTATATTTTCTTAAACCCACCGATATAGACGTTCTTTCATTCCTCCACTGTAAGCACTGGCAGCCAAGTTTAGTAACTACCGTGCTTTCAACTCGCTGTAGTTCGTCTTATTACCAAGAACTGAAAGGTCTGCACCAAACAAAGGCATAACACTATGCAAAACTCTGACATAGGGGTCGACTAAAGAAAAGCATAAATTCAGCTGTTATGAAACCACAGTATTTCTAGACAACATTGGTGTAGAGGAAATAAAGGTTTGGGTACAACACAAACAGATAACAAGTAAGCAATTCATCACAAAATATGTAAATATGCTATTGCAATTGGAAATTTTTTCTTAGGAGAATGTGAATATGAGCATAAACTCGTTAGATTGGGAACATCCACATCTGGATATCTTCAACAAATAAGGTGCGGATTATACTCTGCTTTGGGTATTCTGTCGTTTTCAAATCAACTTCCACCTTGTAGAAAGCCATTTCCAATCGCAACGAAGCAGAGTCACTTGAGTTAGGCAAAAACATAGGGTGGTTCCCTAAAGTAATATTTCGGACGTAAGTGAGATCTCCTTTAAGCTAACCCTCATATCAAATGAAGTAAGTCACGCCATTAAGAGGTGCTTAAGAAAAAATGGTCTTGAAAATTATGTAACGATTGCTGACATACCACCCAATACTCTACGCCGTCAGTTAGTTCGTAACCGTCTCCATGATCGTTTGTGCAGCTCAGAAAACCATATGATCTGCCCTAACAGGAGAGACGGGGATTGCATGAGTTTAAGTATAATATACTTGATCTCATGTAACGCATGCGGTAGGGAATATATTGGGGAAACAGGTAGACCACTTTGTGTCTGCATAGAAGGACATCTAGATGGGGGAGTTAAAATTCATCAAAGCACTCTGAGTGCGCATAGGGCACACAAGCACAATGGCGATAATTTTGAAGTGACTGTACGGATCCTAGCGCAGGAATCGAAAACATCAATGCGCAAGACTCTTGAGGCGTTTTGGATAAATTTCAAAAATCCAAAGATGAACCGGAAAAACGAATGCCACACTATCATACGTGATCTGGCGCCCTATTACGAAATGGTTATTTGACCTGGATGGGTCTTGTTCGCGACCCTATGTTAGCGAGTCCCATTCGTACCAGTACGCTAAGTAGCCTTTTTTGATCAATGTAGAGTCTATTCAAAACTTTGATTTTTATTAATACTTTGGCTTTTTCCACAGAATAATT